CCCCCAAAACCCCAAAACCCCAAAACCCCGTATCGTACTTAAATCATTGAGACACTAATTATTAGATTAGTAATAACAAATATGGACTTCACCAATCACATTTTCGAACATGAAAACTTATCAGATGAACTCATTAATGAAGGCGTGGCTTCTTCTGAAGTTCGAGGATCAGACAAGATCCTTAATAATATGAAAAGAAAGTCTTTTACTCCTAACAAAAATTATCTCCAAGAAAAATTTGAGTTTGTGCCTTGAAAGACTCCCAAAAATTTCTCAAAAACAAAGTTTGACCAAAATGAAGAAAAATTTTGCAAGAAAACTAGAGGTAAATCGTACTATAAGGATGAAGAGCCTTTTGAATATCTCAAAAAGAGTCCTACCAAATCATTAAATGAAAGACCAAAAGAGATAAGAAGTTTGAAATCTGACATTAGCAGCCTGTTGAGGCAGGCTGTTCGATTACGAAATAAACCTGAAAATTCTTCACAAAATCCTAAGATTAGTCATGAAGAATCCTCCTTGAAGGCTGGTGATTGATGTTTTGTCACAATGAAAGACATTGGGGCTCTCTAAGCTCAGAGCACTCTAATAATAGTTTAATAAACTTTCAATAAATTTCTTACTGAACTATTATTTTCTTTCCTTATATTTATAAATTTGTGCACATATATTACAAGTGAAAATTATAAGGTTGCCGAACCTATACTCATAGTTATTGTCGCTGTAGTGACAGCTTACAGTGTAACTGTGGGAGGCTCGCTGGTCCAGATTTTTGGAGGCTACTGAACCAGCAGAGATTGGTTATGTGCTTTGTGGTTTTAGGGACTTTTATGAGCGAGGATGTGAGGGATATGGTGAAACAGCAGAATTTTGGGCTTTGTGATATGGGGTTTGGAAGATGCAGTGCCGAAGTTGTCAAGAGGGTTGGATATTAAGCAAAAGACTGGAGAGTTGAGAGAATTCGGTTTTGATTATGAGAGCTGATTTAGGAGTTATTGGGTGCCGATATTTGGAATTTTGCTGATTTGGCTGTTCCATGTTTCAGTAAGGATTTTCTTTATCTATTATGGATTTGTCTGCTTTATTTCAGTTGTAGAATTTAAGAGGAGAAAAGGATGCGAGCTCGTTCCTCAGTCTGATGACCCAGATAATAAGCCTAAAGGTAATGAAGTTTAGTAATATGTATAGATGTGGAAGAACAAATTTATGGAGAAATATTCGCAAGTATTGATAAATCTCCCCACGCAGCCTTCCATCAGCCTTTGGTGATGGGAAGAATAATGATAATAGTAGCTATAATCTTGGTCATTAATATTTATAATGAATCTACTATCTGGATGGTGCTTTGCGTCATCTTGATCTTGCAGATAGGATATATTTACCAAGCTATAAAAATTCTTAAATTTGCATGGTGGCCCTTAAAAGTCATTTATCTTATTAATGAGGTCTTCCTGCTGGCATTCATTTGTGTTTTCGGAATTCTAAGAACCAGATATGACTGGAGAAACTGTAAATAATTTTTAATACTTTATAGCTGCTTGAAGAACAATCTTGCTTGTCATGATCTTGAGTAACAGAATAATTGTCATCTTATTTCAACTGGTAATCTACTTATTAATAAGTTTAGTGTGGAAACTAAATTCAAACCAAGAAAGTGTTCAGAGGTACAAACGGCTTTAACCTTTAGAAATAAAAGCTGAATTACTCAATCAGAAGAAAACACAAGTGAAAATACCTGTAAGAGTTTGATTATAATAAATAGGTCAATGAGTATAAATTCAAGACCAAGCATAAATGTAATTAAAATCTTTATTATGATCTAATTTTACTATTTAAGAATTTGAGATTGCCTCTCGTTGAAGCTCAATGATGACACTGAAATATAGCAACTCAGTTCCCCCAAGATACAGAGGAGACCGTGAGTCGCTCCTTAGACAAAAAATTAACCTCAGAGAGCTTCTAGATAGAACAAAGAGCAAGGATGAAGAAGGTTAGTTTCTTCTCTAAAATAACAGAAAAAGTAGCTAAGCAAGCTGCTAAAAAACAGAAACCAAAGCCAAAGAATCCAAAGAAGAATCTTGAGAAGCCTCAGAGACACAGTAAGCGCCTATTATTTCAAAAAAATTAATGTTTCTAGACCAATTACCTCCGATAAATGGTAGGCAACCAGTAAAATTCGGGATGCCTGATGCTCTTATGAATCCAGACCTGTTGAAGAAGAAACACGAAAAGAGTGGATTCAAAAGTGTTGGCCAAAGAATCAGAGAGTTCAACCCTACCAAGATTGGAAAACTGGACATATAGACTAAAGTTTAAGAAGCTGAATGCTAAAATATATGTTTCTAGGGGTAGATATATATGAATAAAAAAAATTAGACTTTAGATAACAAGAAAGTATATCTTATAATTTCTTTCTTTATCTTGGATTGTATGTGCCAAACCATCACACAATAAAAATAGAATCAGTTTCTAAATAAAACTTATTTCCCTTTAACTTTGAGTACTAAGCAAAGTAACTTCGTTCAAATTTCTACTATATCAAAATATCTTATCCTAACTCTACTTAAATCCCTCTTCAGAGTTCTTCCTTCCTCTAGTGCCCCAAAATCTACTAGACTCTTTTCAAAATTTCCCAAAGGTCATAAATTCTTCTTCTTGGGTATCTTGTGCGTCTATTTTCAGATATTCTTGTATTAAGTGTTAATTCTAGTTGGCCTCGGCTCTTTGAAGCGAAACAAGGGAAATTTGAAACCATAGTGATATTTAAGTGTTATAAATATGTTCAATGGGCAGAGATAGAACTGGGGTTTTGGGGTTTTGGGGTTTTGGGG